GGAGAAGAGAAAGGTTAACGCCAAGAGCACAATGCAAGTACCACTGGAATGTTCCATGGGGGTAGCTGACAGGAAGTGTCAGGTGTAACACTATTCTCCACAGAGATCCAAACCTCTACCCACACATCTCACCCCCACCCCGCGGCCTTGGAGACCGAGCTCCTGGGGTGCAGCCTGAGCTGGACCCAGAGGCGACTCCCGCCTCCAGCCGCCGGCCTGAGGGGGGCGCCTTCCTCTGCGCAGGCGCGTGCGGGGAGCCTAAGGGCAGGTGATGGGTCTTGGCCTTCCCCCAGCAAGTGGGGACCCCAGCGCTTCTCCACTCCTCAGGGCAGGAGAAGGGCTAAGGAGACCCGAGGGAGGAAACGAGGGAAACAAGAAGCCACCTGGGCTTCAGCCAGCTCGCGCCCCAGGCGTTGTTAGCAGCTCGGGCTGGGGTAAGAGGGCGCCCAGAGACCCAAACCCACTGGGTGCGGGTGCGGCTCAGCCTGGCAGGCTCAGCCCTGGCAGGGGGTTCTGACCAGATGACGGCAGACCCTTGTCTCCCGAGGGCTCTCCCAAGCCTGGGCACGGGGCCACCCATGTGTCAGCAGGCTGAGTGCGGCCACGCCTGTGACCCACGACTCTTTGAGGGGCCCACGGAAATGCTCTAACTTCTTGTAAAGTCAGGAAAAAAATGAAAGAATCAAAGAAAATGTTTTGATTGTTTTTTCTTACATCAGAAAAAAAGGTGAAATTTTTAGGGCCTGCAAAAAAATCTATTCATTAATTTTTTTTTTTTTTAATGAGGTGAGAGTCCGGAGAGACAAAAGTGCTCAGGATCGCCCCTCCCGCATGGCTCTGTGGTTTAGTTCCTTTTTTTTTTCTTTTTTAAAATATATTTTTATTTAAGAGAGGAAGGGAGAGAGAGAAACATCAACGATGAGAGAGAATCATTGATAAGCTGCCTCCTGCACACCCCCTACTGAGGATCAAGCCCACAACCGGGGCAGGAATCGAACCTGGGACCCTTCAGTCCACAGGCTAATGCTCTATCCACTGAGCCAAACCATGAACCAGGAGGTCACAGTTGGATTCCTGGTCAGGGTACATGCCCCAGTTGTGGTTGCAGACTCCACCCCAGTGTGGGGCATGCAGGAGGTAATGTTTAATGATTCTCTCTCATCATTGCTGTTTCCCTCTCTCTCTTCCTCTCTGAAATCAATAAGGACATTTTTTTAAATAAATAAATTAAAAGTGCTCAAGATCCACGAAATTTTTAATTGAGCGTTGAGGGAGAACCATTGAATCAATAATCACAAATTAATTTTCCTAAAGGCTATAAAAGCATTTATGAGGGGCCGTAACCTATTAAGACCTAAAGTCAGTTATCTAAAGGATGAGGGGATTAAGGAGGGGAATGCTCAGACAGTGGGAACCACAGTGAGAGGCCCACAATTTGTGCATGTGAATGGCGCCCCAGTGGCAGGGTAGGCTGGAAGGGGGTTGGTCAGGGGATGGCATGGCATGAGGATGGAGAGATGGAACGGAGATGCATACAGAATTTCGGAGCCAGAGTAAGGATTTTGGATTTTGTCCCAAGT